GCGTGCGAGGAAGTTTGCCACGAGAATGTAAACATCAGAAGGCTTAGAAAATCTTAAAAAACCAGGGTGAGAGGCAGCTGTGCTGAGCTGAGGACCGCTGTGCCCTGCTGCAGGTGAGGACCAAGGACGTGCTGTTCGAGAGCATCAGCCACCTCATCAGCCACCACCGGCAGAACGAGCAGCCCATCGTGGCAGCCGAGAGCGAGCTGCACCTGCGCCAGGTTGTGCAGAGGAAGCAGTGATGCCAAGGGGGTACGTGAGCCCCCGACCTGCTCCCCCAGCTCTGGACTCACCCCAGGGCAAAACTGGGGTCTCTTTGTGCTCCCCCTCTCCAGTTGTGCCTGGATTTTGAGGTTTGGGGTCAGGCTCCCCGTTTTCCTCCCCAGTGAGGCTGGGTGGTGCCTGGCCCTGCAGGTTCTCCCTGGCTGCTGCCTACCTCCATCACCTGCACGGGGTGCCCTGCCCAGCTGGACACACAGAGGTTTAATTCCACACCTACAGGTGAAAAGTTCTTGGGGTGGGAGCTGCTCAGTGGCCTCAGCAGGAGGGACAGAGCCTGAAGCCACCTCAGGCAGGGCTGTCCCCACTTGCCCCAGCACTGCAATGGGGCTGGTGGATGTTGCTGCAGCCCCTGGCTTGGCTCTGCCTGTGGCACCAGGCACAACAATCTCTTGGACGCTGCTGTTGGATGTTCCTGTTGGGGACGTCCCTTTTCAGCTGGATTCTCCCAGGAGTGGCTGCCACAGGATGCTCCATGTGGCCCCAAGCCCCTGCAGCCAGGCCAGGGCCAGGATGGAGCTCACGAGGGCTCACAAGGTGTCTCATGGCCAGCTCAGGGGCTTTGCAAGGTTTTTGTGCCATCACAGCCCCCTTTGCCCGCCCTGTGTCTGGTGCTGGGCACGGGTTTGTGCTTTGGAATACATTTCTAATTAAACCTGGAGATGAGCAAGGAGCACAGGTGGTTCATGCTGGGAGAGGTTTCCATCACACCAGCTCCTGCCTGGTCTCACCTTGGCCAACCCATCCTGTCCAGTCACACTTGTCCCTGTCCCACATGGGTCACCCAGTGTCCCCTCTGGGTCACCCAGTGTCCCCTATGGGTCACTCAGTGTCCCCCTGGCTTCAGAGTGGCCTTTGGCACCCAGGGCTGGCCCTGCATGGCCTCTCCTCACCTGGCAGCTCCCTGCCCTGCTGGCTCTCCCAACCTGCCTCCACCTGGAGCAGCCACCCCTGGGGTGGCTCTGAGTGGCCCAAACCAAGCTGTGACCCACTGTGGGTGACAGCAGAGCCGGAGCTGTGGGTGGGTCTGGCTGTGGCTCCTGTGTCACAGACAACTGGGGGGTCCAGCAGCAATCCTGGCTCTGCTCTGTGTCCCCAGCACCCATCCTGGGGAGCAGGGTCACCCCAGCAGCCTCAGCCCCTCGCTGGGGATGGCCCCTGCCAGATCTGGCCAGTGCCAGCCGAGCCAATGAATAAAATGAGCCCCTAAATAAAGCCCAGTAATGAATGTGTAATTTTCCATTGATAGCTGGATTCCGCGGGGACGACGCGGCGCTTCCATCTCAGCTGCTATTTTCTGTCGTGGAGTGATGTGTCTGCAGAGATAATTGCACTGTTCCCTCAATAGAGGCAGGGAAAGGCAGTGAGGGCCCCCGACTTTCTTATTTCACAGCTGGAGAACCAACCGAGCTCCTGTGGTTCACCTGCTGGCTGTGCCTCACCCTGCAGCAAGGGGATGCTGCCCTGGAGGGATGGAGGGCTGGTGGGGAGGTTGTTTTAAGGGTTAAACACTTTGGTTGAGGTTGATTTGTGCCAATGGGTGCAGGGGGCTCTGTGCCTCAACCCAGAGCTGGGTTGAAGGGCTGCTGCTTCCTCATCCCCTATGAAGGGAAGGCTGAGGTGTTTTGGGGAGGTTTGGAAGGCACAGAAGAGCAGCTGGAGAGAACGTGGCCTCCTTGGAAATCTCTCTGACCAACCCATCCCTGCACCTGTCTCAAATGTCTCAGACCACAGACACGCCGAGTTCGATTTTTCAGGGCGCAAACCCTTTCCCATAGCAGCTCTCCCTCCTCCTTCCCATCTTCCAGCAGGTGGTAGCACACTGCCGGCGCCACCAGCGATGTCCCCAGCCCTGNACCTCCCCTGAAATGGAGAATGTAAACCCTCCCCACCCCTCTGAATTGCTGTAAATTTTAAATTAAGGGGCTCTCAGGCAAAAAATATGGGAGCAGGAAATAACAGTTCTTTAATAGGGAAGAAAAAAATTAAAATGATAAAATAAACAATGCAGTACACTAGAACAACACTGACAGAGTCAGAACACAACCTGACACCCTGTGGGTCACGGTGTTGGTGGCATTTCCATTTTCCCAATGGAATTGTGGCTGCAGGCCTCCTGCAGTGTCAGGGGTGGTTCTGTTGGTGCAAGGGGGATCTGTAGAGAAGGATGTATTCTTCCTCTGAGGATCCAGTGGAAGGAGACACAGCTGCTGTTCCTCTGGGGAATCCCGTGGAGAAAGCTGTGCTGGTGTCTCAGAAACCTCTAGACTATATCCGGGTAGCAATGCTTGGCTGGTGTTCTAGAATCTCCAGATTATATCCAGGTAGCAATGCTTGGCTGGGGTTACAGAATCCCCAGATTATATCCAGGCAGGAATGCTTGGCTCCTCCCTCTGGGCTCACATCTCCCAATGGGATGCTGTAGTTCTTATCAGCCATGCAGTGACATTCAATAGCTGTTATCAGCAGGTGTCCCCTCCCGAGGGAGGAGTGATTGTGGTCACTCAAAGAGAGAGAGATAAAGCAAACTGCCCACCTGACAAAAGATAATGTGCCATACAGATGTTAACAGAAAACATCTTGCATTGCAATCTGGACCACTGGGACATCCCTGTCCCAGCTCTGTATGGCCTGGACAGCACTGAGCACATCTTTGCTGAGGTGAAGCCCTTGGCACCCTTCACACCCAGAGGTTGCACTGAGAAATCCATAAAAATACAAATTTAAACTCTCCAAGCTGTCCATTGCCAGGTTATAATTAATCCCTGTTTGCGCTTCCATGTCCAATTTCCCTCGCATGGCTCCTGACCCAGACCAATTGTGGCAGGAGGTTTCTGTAATTGCTAATTGCTAATCTTATCAAGGTGAGAACACTGCAATTAGCCAAAGGTGAGCTGCTGCTGGGCCAGCGTTTGCCTCACCTGTGCCAGGGGAGGACGCACAATGCCTGCAGTGCCTGCCAGGGCTGTTCCTTGCCCATCCTGGGCAGGATGGGATGCTCAAAGTGCCCTCACCTTTCCCAGCCCCACATCACCATGAAAAATCCCTAAACAGCCCCAGAGCCTCTGAGGGGGCTCAGACAAACAAGGCACAAACCCTGGGGAGATCCTGCTCGGCGCCGTTTGGGAACCGAGGCGCTTTTTTGCGGGCAATCTGTTCCCTCCCACTGCCGCTGGCTCCCTGCCCGCCCCACTCCCGGCAGAGGCGGCGGTGGAGAGAGCGGCTCTGGCCACCAGGACAATTCCATGGATGTCCCCAAAGTGTCACAGGGCCAGGCTGGGCTGAAGGGGCACAGCTGGCAGAGCCCGGGAGCAGAGAGCAGCCAGGTGTTCCCCCAGATGTTCCCCAGGTGTCCCCCAAGTGCTCCCCCATGTGCAAAACTTGTTTTTAAAATTTTAAAAATTTAATAGTAATAAAATGGTTAGATATAATATATAGAGATATATGAAACATATATAAAAATATATTTTTATATTTATAAAAATTTATATTTGTTTATTACTATATACTATATAATATATAATATATAATATATAATATATAATATATAATATATAATATATAATATATAATATTATATACTCTATAAAATCTATAAAATATAATTAGAGTAATAATAATTTGGACAATTTGAATTAGGACAATATGAGACAATAAAAACAAAGAGTTACAGACAATCCAGGTACCTTTTTCTGGGCAAAATAAACCCGAAAAAGGACACAGTTAACAGAGGATTAACCTTTAAGAACAACAGCCTGTTGCATATTCATACATCTCATATATGATGCATGTAAAAAATNTTGGGGATGAGGTAGGGTGGGTGTACAGAACACGAGGAGCTGCAGTGGGAGAGTGCAGGGAGCACGCAGGGATGGATGAGGGTGAGAGCAGCAGGGTGGAGGATCTTTGCCAGAATCCGTGTATTTAGTGCAATACAACAGATCTTTCCTGCCTCTCCTCACCCTCTCTGGTGACCTGCTCCTCGCTAGCTGCCTGGTGGACTCTGAAATTCTGCCTTTAAAACATTTACAAAATTCCCAAAGCATCAAGAAAGCCCAGGTGGGAGGGGGGAAAAAATAGCATAAATAATCAGACAGGAGGATTTGTTAAACACCAGTAGCTGCTGGCAAACACTTCAATATCAGTGCAGCCGGGTGCTGATCCAGGTGGCTTTGGGAGCCAGGGGCTGGTGCCAGCCCAGGGGGGCTGTGGGGCACAGAGGGACTGTGGGGCACAGAGGTCTGTGACAGTGTTCACAGCAGTTTTCAGTTTGGGGAAGAGATGAGGATCTGACTCCATGTTTCAGAAGGCTTGATTTATTATTTTATGATATATATGATCTTAAAACTATACTAAAAGAATAGAAGAAAAGGTTTCATCAGAAGGCTAGCTAAGAATAGAAAGGAATTATAACAAAGGAGAGTCCAAGCCAGCTGACTGTGATTGGCCATTAATTAGAAACAACCAACATGAGACCAATCACAGACCCACTTGTTGCATTCCACAGCAGCAGAGAATCATTGTTTGCATTTCGTTCCTGAGGCTTGTCATCTTCTCAGGAGGAAAAATCCTAAGTAAAGGATTTTCCATAAAGGTTGTCTGTGACAGGGGTCCTGCTGAGGTGGGAGGCACCTGGCTGGGCACAGCAGGGCAGGGCTGGGAGATGCTCCAGGTGCAGAATCTCCTCTCTGTGCTTCCCACCCAGACCTCACCTCTGGGGTGAGGGACATGTCCATCTGCACATCCCCAGAGATTTTGGGGGTGTGTTAACCCTGCTCCCCATGCTGTGGCCGTTCAGGGGGGGTGGGCTGTGGTGGGAAGGGGCTCCAGCCCGGCCTGGCACCGCCCATGCCTGGCAGAAGCACTGTGACCATGCAGTGATAACCGGGCTGGCATTGCCATGGCAATGAGATAACAACGGCGGCTGCCAGGCGGGAGCAGAAAGGGCAGGGATCTCCAGCAACACTCACCCGTGCCTCACACTGGGATCCAGCCCAGGCCTGGCCTCTGTGTCTTGTTTGGGAAAGACAGGAGTCTGCTAAGGAAGGCAGAAGCCTCCCCTGAAATGGAGAATGTAAACCCTCCCCACCCCTCTGAATTGCTGTAAATTTTAAATTAAGGGGCTCTCAGGCAAAAAATATGGGAGCAGGAAATAACAGTTCTTTAATAGGGAAGAAAAAAATTAAAATGATAAAATAAACAATGCAGTACACTAGAACAACACTGACAGAGTCAGAACNGCCATTCTTGAGTAAGGGATTAAAGATGCCAAAGCTCCTACAGGTGTCCATTTGGCCACTCTTCATCTTGACTAAGGGGAGATTACCTTGAGTAAGGGGTGATTGCCCTTTTCCCCCGTTTTCTCCTCACTTTTATTGATGTACCCCAAGACCCCTTCTCAGATTTCACAGGATTTATCCTCAAGTGTGGTCATGGCAGGTATGGCAAAAAAGCATCTCATGGGGCTGCAAGGAGGGAGAAGGGAGAGAGGGAAATCCATAAAAGTAGGAGAAAAAAAGGAAAATTTGGCCATTCTTGAGTAAGGGGTGATGCCAAAGCTCCTACAGGTGTCCATTTGGCCATTTTAAATTAAGGGGTGATGACCCTAAAAATGCCCCCAGGTGAAGGAAAGGCTGCAATGTGTGCACACATGTTGTGAAAATCCAGTGAGGAGCAAGACACAAATACTCAGAAAAGCTTCAAATTCAGCCTCCAGTCAGTTGTGGGACTCAAATGTGCACAGAACCTTTGTGCTGATGAAGTGAGTGCTGCCTGTTGTGATCTCTGTTGTGCCTAATCTCTTTCTCTGCCTTATCATGCCTGCACACACACAAGAAGGGATCATCCCTGGCTTTGTTGTTGCATCTCAAGATGTGTTCCAAGTGTCCAACTCCTTCTGATCCCTGCAGTTGTGTCAATGGGCTCAGCTGATCATCGACTGAACCTGGCAGAGATCCTTTCCCAGAACTATGGTGTGAGGGAAGAACGGGAGGAAGATGATGCTCAGGAGAAGCAGAAATCTTTAGAAGAGCTGGAGAAGAGTTTCAGTGCCTCTCAGGTAAAGGCAGCAGGGGAGGGGAAGGGAAATTACCTGGAGGATTTGGTTGTTTGCTGTGTGAAGCTGTGGGTGGTCCCAGGGAGACCTGAGTTAGCACAAACTGTTCTTGGTGACAGGGAGTGTTTCTTCAGGCCAGGCACAGGGATTTGTGCTCCCCTTCCTCTGCTTAAATACACTTGTGCTGTCTGGCACTTGTTTGAAATCTAGAATAAAAGATAAAGATATTTTTTAAATGCTTTGGGGTGAAATGTGACAGTGTTCACAGGGGTCTTATGTTGAAGGAAGAGATGAGGATCTGACTCCGTGTTTCAGAAGGTTTGATTTATTATTTTATGATATATATTACATTAAAACTATACTAAAAGAATAGAAGAAAAGATTCTCATCAGAAGGCTAGCTAAACTAAGAATAAAAAGGAATGATAACAAAGGTTTGTGGGTCGGACAGAGAGTCTGAGCCAGCTGGGCTGATTGGCCATTAATTACAAACAACCACATGGGACAAATCACAGATGCACCTGTTGCATTCCACAGCAGCAGATAATCAATGTTTACATTTTGTTCCTGAGGCTTCTCAGCTTCTCAGGAGGAAAAAAATCCTAAGGAAAGGATTTTTCATAAAAATATATCTGTTACAGTGAAAGTTCCTGGCTTTTCCATACCTTTGAGAGGCACAGGTTACACTGGGTCCCAGCAGTGTCACCTGGGGCTGCTCAGAGCCCCCAGAGTTGCTGAGCTGCCCTGCCTCTGTCCCAGCTGCTGTGCTGCCCTTGTGGTTGTTCTCTTCCTGATGCAGCTTTGTCCTCCTCTTGCTCAGAGCAGTGAAATGCCATTTGAGGAGCTGCTTGCACTGTATGGCTATGAGGCATCAGATCCCATCTCGGAGCAGGACAGTGAGAGCAATGACATCGCTCCCAACCTCCCTGACATGACTCTGGATAAGGTGAGAGCAGCTCTCTGCCTGGTGCCTGCACATGGGGTTGAGGTTTCCCCCTTTTTATGAAGGGTTGGAAGGGGCCTGCCTTGTTCTGGGGAGCACCAGGTGCAGAAACAGGACTGTGAAGTGTTTAGAGAAGAAGAGACAAAGGATATCTGTTTCAAAATGTAGAAACTGTATGGAGCTTTGGTTACAAGTATTTGTACGTTGATGGGGATGTGTCAAGATCCAGGGAAAGTTTGTATCCTCTTGTTCTAGCTCAAGTCTATGGAAAGTGGGGTTTTTTGGAGAGGGTTGGGGTTTTTTTTTCTTTCTTCCTCCTTCAGGATTTTTGAGTTGTTTGCTGTGAGTGCAGCTCTACAGAAGGGGATGCTTGCTCATGCTGTCTGCCTTCTATAGGAAGCCACTGATGACACTTGTTAAAGTGCTTCTAGGGAAAATAGTCTGGGTGTGGTGGGAGTGTGAGAGAGAATCTGTCTTTGGACAAGCTGTGGGAGGGTGAAGAGCTCTGTGGATGTGACCAATGCTGGCCAAAAAATGCTTTTACTCTAGTCCTCGCTCCCTCTCTTATATTTTTTTTTAAATTTAAAAATATTTTTCACTTTCTTGTTGTTGTTAAAAGGAACAAATAGCGAAGGATTTGCTTTCAGGGGAAGAAGAGGAGGAGACACAATCCTCAGCTGACGATCTGACTCCATCCGTCACGTCCCACGATGCTTCGGACTTATTCCCAAACCAGCCTGGCTGTATGTGTCACTAGTTCCTAAGTAGCTGCTGTTCACTTTTACATATGATGTGCAGGGGAGGGTGAGAATGCTTCTCTTAATTTTGTCAGTCTCCTGACATGAGATTTTCCACTTTTCCTCCTAGGGACTGTCTGCATGGCAGAGGCGTTACCGGGCTTTGGGTAGGACAGGACAGAGCGTTGATGAGCAGTGGGATGAGGGGAGAATTTGCTCAGAATACTCAGAGAGAGAGTGGGAATTGTTTTGCTGCCTGCTGTAATTGCAGTCTGAAAGATCAGTACCTCATCTGACACCTCTACAAGTGAATAAATTCAGTAGTAGTAATGGAGTGATGTGTTGTGGCAGTTCCTAAATGTTGGAATATGTGGGAAGCCAAAGCACGTGGCAGGGACTCTGCATGAAGTGATGTTATTTCTTCTGCTGTCTTGCAATAATAAGGAGTCTGAGCTCCCCCAAGTTGGCCATCCATGTGGCAAATGTCCAAATTCTTTTACTTAAAGTGAGAAAATTAAAATACAGGTAAGTTGTTATTGTAGACCATGCTGAAAGGGACTTTAGGACAGAAAATGAAGGAGACGGAAGGTAAAGGAATAGAATAAAAAATTCCTAACTACAGATCTTTTCCTTTCCCACAAAGCAAACAACTTCCTTGCTGATGAAGACAAAGAGCCATGTTCATCACCATGTGCTTCCTCCATGGCTGAGGACTCAGAGGTGGATTCCATCCCATCCAATGAGTGTAAGAAGGTAAATGACCTGAGTGCATTGGGAAGGAGGACTCCTGAATTTGAAAATTCCATGACACCAAAACACTGTATTATTTCCCCAATTGGCTTCTTGCATTTTGTGGGGGGCAGTGGCAGATGTGGGTGACAAGAGGGGTTTTTAATACAATCTTGAAATTATCTTCTGATAAGGGAAGTCTGTTGTGCCTTGGTAAATTAAATCTGCAGCCCTATAAAGGTGAAATGCTGTGCAGTATTCCCAGCAGGATTTACTGAGGGGGAACCATCTTTCTAAAGAGAGGAGCAGGTTTCCAAATTCATCCTGGCTGTGAAGGTTGCAGGAGAACCTCTGCATTACTTTATTTCCAACCTCAGCTGCTTGCCATAGATCCTTTACATTAAAAATATGTAAATGCTAAAGGTCCCCACAGTATCATCTGCTTGGTAATAAATCTTCTTAGTTACCCTATAAAATAGTCAGGGTTCACCAGAAACAACAGTGACAGAGGGGGCTACCAGTAAATAAATCAGCTTTTTAGTGGTGTAGTCCCTAAATCATGAAGTACAGCCTGCATGGAGCATTTCCCATTTCAATTTTCTCACCTCTCTGTTGTGGGATTTCAGGAGATCATGGTTGGACCTCAGTACCAGGCCACTGTTCCCATCCTCCGTTTGAACAGGCACAGGCAGAAAGGTAAGGCAGCCTCTCCTTTGTGCCTGGGCTGGGGTAGGGCTGCTGGCAGGGGGTTCTGATGGGCTCTGGATCTCCAGTCCTTGTTCTGGGCAGCTTTCAGTGCTCACATTCAGATTTACTGGCTGAATTAATAGGGATGGGAGCACAGGGACAGAATTAGTGAAGCTCACTGAGATCTGGGTTGGTGTGACAGGTTTGCAGGACTGGATCTCAGCTGTTGCCAAAGACAAGGAACACCCATCTGGGGTTGCTCTGATTTATTCTGATATTATTTATTATCTTCCTTAAGTAGTGAGCACCTCCAGTGCTCCCTGGAGGTGATCTGTTTCTGATTTTGGGATGTCTGCTGAGCAGACAGAGGTGCCTTGATTTGCAGATTGTGTCCAATAATGAGTGCAGTATGAGTGCCAGCTTGTTGAGCTTCTGGACAAGAAAGCTAAAACAGTCTTTATTTGCCAGGATTAATTAATCAAAACAGCAATCTTTGAGAATATGATAACAAAAACTTTTGTCAGCCAACCTTTCTGAAACAATGGAAGCAAGCTGAGCCCGTGCCAAAGGCCCTGAAAGAGATATAAAGAGCTTATCTGCCTCCAAAATCAGGAGGGAACAGGCAGTGCCTTGAGAGATGTTTGTCATCTCTGGTGCCAAATTGGAGCAACCAAGCAATGATTTCCTCCCTCCTGTGTTCTCCCCATGCATGTCCGTGCAGACCACTTCTCAAAAAGCAGCAGAATTCTCTGTTTGATTATCTTATTTCAGTGCTTTTTCTGTTAGCCTATGAGAATGAAGATCAGCTGCTTTGGGACCCAAACATCCTCCCTGAGAGGGAGGTGGAAGAGTTCCTGTACCGAGCTGTGAAGCGCCAGTGGGACGAGCTGGCTGGCAGCAGCCTGCCTGAGGGAGAGGTGGTCAAAGACAACGAGCAGGTGAGCCCAGGGCTTCCTGCAGCCCACACAGACCCAGCTGGTGCTGGCCCAACAGTGCCACGTTCCCTACAGAGTGCAGAATGAGGGCAAACTCCAGTGATCTGGTGGATAAGTGAAATATGGGTCTCCTCTACCCAGGTCTCATAACCTTTTTGAGATTTATTTCACACCCAAGATAGCTCAGCTACTTTAGAAAGCATAAAATCAGCAGGATGGCGTCTGTGGTAGTGTTGGAAGCAAAAAGGTTTTATTAAAAGGCAAAATAACAGAACTCTTTACAGAGAAAAACCAAGCCAGGGCAAGAGGTTCTCGCTCCTGGTAAAACTCCTTGCAGAAGCCATTAGTTTCTTTGTTCTCTTCTTTTTCTAGTAAGTTAGATGGGATGTTTTGGCTTCTGTCCAGTTGAAGTGAAGTCCCCCAAGTCCTATAAGATGTCTTTTCACCTAATTGAGGAGAGAAACTTCTGAGCTGATTTCCTTTTTAAGAGGACAAAGGATAGTTTTGTCACTCCATCAGCAAGGGGCACATTCCTGTCAGGGTGTGTGCCCAGCTGTGCTCTGGGGAGGTTGGTTACCCTCCCATTGGGTGGACTGGGAAAGTCAGCAGATCAACCATTTCAGAGCAGCTGTGTTTACTTCAAGCTGACCAGGTTAGATTCTGGTGGGATTGCATCCCTTGAGTGCCAGGGTTTGTTACCCAACGCCTTAAAAAGTGGGGTAATCTCTGCTGATGGTCAAGGTGGGGTTAGCAGCAAGGTGGCTCCTGGGAAATGGAAATTTTACGAGACAAATGTGAGTCATGAGCGGGCTGGTTTGTGGTGTGTTGCTCAGGTAGGTGCTGGGAGTGATTTCCTTCTGTTCCCCAGGCTTTGTATGAGCTGGTGAAATGCAACTTCAATGCAGAAGAGGCACTGAGGAGGTTACGGTTCAACGTGAAGGTTATCAGAGGTGAGGACCCCCTTTTTTGGGTTCATCATGGCACCTAAAACTCCTTCTAGATTCTGCACATCTCCCCCAACTCTTTNCTCAGAAATGAAATATAGACAATAATTATTTGCTGCTGTGGAATGCAACAGGTGCATCTGTGATTGGTCTCGTGGTTGTTTCTGCTTGATGTCCAATCACAGGTCCAGCTGTGTCGGGACTCTGGTCAGTCACAAAATTTTATTATCATTCCTTTCTCCTTTCTCTCTTTCTTTAGTATAGTTTTAGTATATAATTTTCTTTTAATATATCATAGAATAATAAATCAGCCTTCTGAAACACGGAGTCAAGATTCTCATCTCTTCCCTCATCCTGGAGACCCTCAAACAGCACCACAAGGCTCAGCCAGGAGTCCCTGAGGGGCTGTGGGGATGGAGGGGAGCTCCATTCACTTCAGGAATTCCTGGAGATGAGTTCCTTCCTTGTGCTGTGTGAAAAATTCATATTTATACGATTAGCTTTTCACAAATATTAAAATGAATATTATATGTGTTATGTTACAAAGTGATGCTGTATTAATTCTCTTAAGTAGTGTGGTAAATATAGTTTTAGGTTGTAACAAAATGTTAAAATAGAAACTATGCTATGTAAGATACTTTTTATAAAGAAAGGACTTGCAGTGAGATAGAGCCACAGGACACCTGAATCTTTCAGAGAAAAAGAATTTATTGCCCTTTTATCAGAAGAGATGAACTTCTTCCTGCCTTGAAGGCACTGTCAGGATTCAGAGGAAGAAGCTGACAATGACCAGACAGAATCCTGTGTTTGAATGGAATTTATTCATCATCCATGAGGTGTATGAATATGCAACAGGTTATTGTTTTTAAGGGTCAATCCTCTGTTAACTGTGTCCTTTTTTGGGTTTATTTTGCCCTGATAAAGGTACTCAGACAGTCCATAACTCTTTGTTTTTATTGTCTCATATTGTCCTAATCCAAATTCTCCAAATTATTACTTTAATTGTATTACTATTTTTATAACCATTTTATTACTATTAAACTTTTAAAATTTTAAAACAAGTGACTGGCGTTTTTCACAGGAGTGATAGGTGAGGATCCCTCAGAGTGTTTCCTAGAGGTACAAACTTCGTTATACCGGAAGGCCGGGGGTTGTGAGCTCGGTTTTCCTTTGACCTATGCGGTCCCCGCTGTGTCCCTGGGCCCTTGGACCGCCTGTGGGACCCGGCCCAGGGGAA